CACCAGATAGCAGATGTTCTAACAAAACCACTTTCCAGCTCAAGATTTATTGACTTAAAGACAAAACTTAGTGTGATTGGGTATCCAAACAAATCACCCTAGTTTTGAGGGGGGATGTTAGATATACATCTTGTAGTAGACTAAAAGTTCTGTATTAGAATAAGTTTAAATCATACTGTTTAGTAGTGCCTCGGTTGGTTTGTTATGTTAGTTAGAACAACCAACTCTATAAATACTTGTATTCTAATACAGTTCAATGCAATCTGAGATTTTCTGTTAGCATTCAATACTTGCCTCTCTCTCTCTTTCTAATAGATACTGATAGTAATTGGTTTAACTACTGGAGAGAATGTTTCTCCAAAGTCAAAACCAAATCTTTGATGAAAACCTTTGGCAACCAACCTTGCTTTGAATTTATTAACAGAACCAACTGAATTCTCTTTGATTCTGAACACCCATTTGCAGCCTATAGCCTGTTTTCCTGGAGGAAGAGAAATTAGAGACCAAGTTTTGTTAGCAAATAAAGCATCATATTCAGCTTGCATTGCTACAAACCAAGGGGGAGAGGAGAGAGCCTGCTTAACTGATGTGGGCTCAGTATGAGCTAATAGTACGGTTGGATTAAATCTCGGTTTAACAATCCCAGGTTTAGATCTGGTTTGCATGGGATGATTGTTGTTGGTTAATGGAATAGAAGGTGGGGAAGAAGAAGATAGTACAGAGGATGTAGGAGGAGAAGTGTTATCATTGATGTTATTTTGGGAATTGAGAGGAGTTGAAGACTCAGAATGATCAGATGTTTGAGGATTAGTTGAAGATATGCTGGGGGAGGAGCCGGAAGATGTGGAAAAAGAGGGGACACCATTGTTGAAAGGAATATGTGAAGAGGAATGGGAGATAGATATGGGTACAGATGACTGTACTGGGACAATGTGAGTTGGAGTAGATGTTGTAGGAAAGAGTATAGGATAAGGAAATTTTGTTTCATCAAAAACTACATCTCTAGAGATATAGATTTTTTCACAAGGAGAGAGACACGTGTAGCCTTTGTGGTGAGAGGAATAGCCCAAAAATACACACTCTTTTGAGTGGTAGTCCATTTTATGTTTATTATAAGGGCGAATGAAAGGATAACAGGAACATCCAAACACCTTGAGAAAGGAATAATCAAGAACAGACCCATACAATTTGAAGTAAGGGCTGAGATTTGCAATAGACTTAGAAGGAGTTGTGTTGGTTAGGTGGACAGCAGTAGCAAAAGCAATATCCCAGAATTTTAAAGGTAATGATGAATGAGAGATAAGACATAGTCCTTTTTCAACAATAATGCGGTGTTTCCTTTCCACAACACCATTTTGATGGTGTGTGTGAGGACAAATGACCCTATGAGTGATACCTTTTTCATTTAGAAATTGTGCGAAGAATCTGAATTCACCTCCCGAGTCTGACTGGATTGATTTTATAGAGACATGGAACTGATTTAACACATATTGATAAAAGTTCTGAAAAGCTAAGAAGGCATCATATTTCTTTTCGAGAAAATATATCCAAGTGTACCTAGTGTAGGCATCAATAAAGAAGATATAGTAAGAATAGCCATCGAATGACACAATAGGAGTTGGTCCCCACAGATCAGTAAAAATTAGTTCAAAAGGGGAGTGATAAACAGTATTGGAAGGATAGGATGGAAGTCTTTGAGCTTTTCCAAAACAACATGGAGAACAAAAATCAATAGCATTTTTATTTATATAGGGAACATTACACAGATGTAGTACAGACTTGAGTGCCTCAAAATGAGGATGACCTAGTCTTAAATGCCAAACATTACAAGATGTATTGGACTGAGATTGATTACATTGAGGCATAAGAGAATTGGGATACATAGAATTGTTAAGAGAAGTCTTGAGGGTGTTGGCAGATGACTCGTGAGATCCAAGTGCTGGAAAGGAATGAAACCTATGGAGACCATCTTCTCCGAGTGTTCCATATAGCAAAACCTGTTTAGAAACATGGGATTTGACAAAACACTCATAAGAATGGAATTCAAAGAATGCATTATTATCCTTTGCAAATTGGCTGACACTTAGAAGATTTTTGGTTATGACAGGAATATGTAAGATATTATTGAGATATAGAGAAAGAGATGATTGATAAGGAGAGGGAGAGGATGAAAAACCAATAGACTTAATGTCCAAACCTTGACCATTGTCCATAAAAAGCTTGTCAGTTGTAGCAATAGGCTCACTATGTTGAAAATTGAGAGGATCAGCTGTAACATGATGTGTGGCCCCTGAATCTGGAAACCAATTCTGAGTGTATGGAGGTGGTCCTAGCACTAAAGAGTTTGCAGAAGCCCAAGCAGCAGTTGGAGCAGTAGGGTTATGAGTTGGATGTTTGAATGGAGAGGCAAGAGGTCCCCAACTGAAAGGTGATGGAGTAGGATAATTGGATGGATATCTTGGTCCTGTAGGATGTTGGGATGAGGCTGGTTGATTCTGGTTTGTATATTGTTGAGGTTGTTGGGGTTGATTTGGATATGGATTAGATGAGTTAGAGTTTGAAGCGGTATATGCAGGATAATATTTGTGATAGCACACAAGTGCATTGTGACCACTCTTGCCACAAACTTGGCAAATAACTGAGCTGCGACCACCATTGCGACCACCTCTTCCTCTATTAAAACCACCACGACCTCTGCCTCTAGAGGCAGGGTTTCCACCAGAGTTATCAAATTGAGCAACCTGAGCAGAGTGATTTTCTGGAGAATTTTGAGTTCCAGCTTCATTGTTTTGAGAAGAGTCTTCAACACGAGCAACGTTGGCAGAAAATAACATTTGGTGTGAAGTATCTCGAAGTTTTCTTATTCGCAACTCTTTGGCGAGCAGTAGACCTTCGCCTTTCAAGTTCTGAGAGAGTAACTGGATCAAGGATGCTACGAGAGGTAACAGATGATACAAGTGACTCATAGTCTTCCGGAAGACCTTCGAGAATCATGTTGATGTGATCCTTGGTGGATATTGGTTCCCCAATGGACATTAGGTTATCAACTATGGTCTGAATGTGAAGGAGATAGTCAGAAATAGATCGATCACCCTTACCGGTGTTGTATAACTCAGATTTTAATTGACGAGCTCTGGCGACAGTATTTGATCGAAAGAATTTTTGAATTTCACTCCATAACTGATGTGAATGTCTACGGCTGATTACGTGAGCATGAAGAGACTCGGAAAGAGACGCCAGAAGCCAAGAAAATAACATTTGATCTTGTTGCTCACAGATGCTATATGCTTCGTTGATCGTTTTTGTTTGTCCATTGTCGCCAACGTTCTGGTATTTGAGGTTTTTCTATAAATTTGTGAAGTTTATGTGCTCGGATCACAGATTCAACATGGTGACTCCAGAACAGAAAGTTATTAGAATCAAGTTTGATTGGCAAAGGATGATTGAATATTACTAGAGAAATTTGTGAGGAAGATTGCGAAGAAGGCTGCGAAGAATTTGACTCAGAAGTTAGTTCGTCATGATTGGAACGAGCAGAGCTCTGATACCATATTAGAGTTTAAGCAATAGAGAAAATGGAGAACGAAATCATCATTACTAAATGAGTAGTTACAGAGTGTTTATATAGTTGATAGTCATAATAGACTAACAACTTAACAGTATAGAAACTCTAACAGTTTATAACTACCATACAAGTATTTAGAAATGTACGTGTATAACTATATACTATTCATAACAATCATGTATAGACTAAAGGAAATCAAAATTTACATGAAAAACATCATATAATCCATCATTCATTTTATTACAACATTTCTTAATTATACTTAGTTTGCCATTTTTGGTTCATATGAAGATAGAGGATCTCATCATGGATCATCCAAAAACAGTTTCTATGTGCTTTAGTACAAGGGTAAGACTGCGTACATCTTACCCTGCCTTAACCCACCGTAAGTGAGAGCCTTTCCGGCACTAGGATAATGTTGTTTTTATTATAAGAAGATAGAGGATCATATATTGTAACCATTGAAGATTGGGTATTATCATTTTTGTAATGGAGCCAAAGACTCAATATTTTTGGCTTGGGAATATGATGGAATAAAGCAAAATGGCTCACTAAATTGTCTGCATTTCTCTGTTGTGAAGCATCAGTCAGTCGATGCTACTTTCGACGTGATTTTCATCATGAATCATCCGAAAACAGTCTCTTTGTGCTTTAGTACACGGGTAAAGTTGCGTACATCCGACCCCCTTAACCAACTGTAGGTGAGAGCCTTTGTGGCAATGGGGTAATGTTGTTGTTGCATTGTATTTTAATCAGTGTGGGCATTAGAGGCTAAATCTTTCATCAGAATTCAAGATGTTTGATGAAAGCTATGTGCATGTTAGGTGTTCGATAAAAGCTCTAAACCAATATATTATAATATATCCTTTATATTTTGATTGTTTATGACTATGATGTAGAGCATAGAAGTATATTAAATTCAGTTTATACTTGCAACTAATGTTGGAATAAAAAGGACAGACATACAAGAATTGAGGACACAAATATACTTGATCTTGTATAGTACGTATGAAGTCTTAATCTTTGATGGGGTTTATCTAGACGAATGTGAGTCCTAACGAGCTCATACATAGGAAAATCACAACCACGCTATCTTAGCAGAAGTTGAGAATATAATAATGAATCTTACTCATTAGAATTGGTAAAGAACTTCTCATGGACTCTAATATCGTTTAAGTGAAATTTCGGTGTATTGGTAGTTTATTCATATATTCATAAAGTTTAGCCCAAGAGAGCTACTTGAAAGAAGTTATGATGTGACTTCTAGGGTTTACGGTATGGATGATTGGATGAACATGCAGCTTCAGAAGCAAATATGGTGCTACCAAGTTAAGTTTATGGAAACTTGCATTTTGAACTGCTTGAAATTGAAATATTAATTCTTAATTCTTTTACAAACTAAATCGCACGATAGAGCAGAAAAAATGAAGAATACCCAGGGTTGGAGTTTATAATATCACAAAGCTCAATGTTAATTGCCCAGTCAGGGCCGATCAGCATGTCACTCGTCGCCCTCTCAGCACAATCCACTGCACCGTTCGCCATCTCTCAAATCTTCAGCTTCCTTTAAGTTTCCAAGCCTTTGATCTCCCTAGTAATACATCAATTCATTCAAACTAACCAAATTATTGAATTCACTAATCGAAGAGTGCAAAGCAAGACACGAGCAACAGAGCTTCGTAGTCTAAAATCCACCAGAACAAAATCGAAAGAACCCCAACCAATAAAACCGTCCAAATCATGCTCTTGCTCACAAAAAAATAAACGAAAATTTTATTGCACAGATTATCCAAACCCGATTGTTGAAATTCGAATCTATGCCCACAACGGGGAGGTGCAGGAGCTTAGACATATATTACCTCTGCTAAATGGCACTATCAATTGTATAGGAAAACGTAGAAATGGTTTTTCTACCTCAAGGGAAAGGGCGGTGTTGTGAGGTGTGAACATATTACAATTCTTTTATCCTTAAAAATTGTAATAACTTTTTTATTTGAAATCCGATTTTTATAAATTTTATATCAAATTTTTTTATTTTTCATGATCTATCAAATGAGACAAATATTGTTTATGTAATTTTAACAAATTATTTTGAAGTTACATTTGATAATATATCATCAAGTTACATTTTCTTCTGCGCGAGTTACATCTTATTGTACGCGAGTTACATCTTAATATACGCGAGTTACATCTTAATGTGAGTGAGTTACACCAAAAAATAAACCCCTGCTACATCTTTCATTTTTATCATTTGAAAAATCGTGTATGAATATGAAATACAATATACTTATTTTATGTAGATTAATAAAATTTTGTATTAAATTGGCAGAAAAAAAAATTAATTCAGTTATAATTGAATTAGTTCAAGATAAAGATAAGTGAAAAATCAAAAATAATTAGATATAACTCACACATAATTACATGTAACTCGCGCATAAAAGTATGTAACTTAAGTATAACAAGATGTAACTCACACATAATTACATGTAACTCACGCATAAAAGTATGTAACTCGTGTATAACAAGATGTAACTCACACATAACAAGATGTAACTCACACATAATAACTTGTAACTGGAGTATAAGATGATGTAACTTCGTATATTATCAAATGTAACTTCAAGCTAGAAGCAAAATAAACAAACTCAATATCTTAAAAACCTCTAAAAACATATAAAAGTGATAAAAAAAATATATTATAGAAAAAGTGTATGCATGTAAAAATATATTACAAAAAATGTATGAATGTAAAAATTAAAGTTACATAGGCAATATTGGTCTCATTTGAAAGATCATGAAAAATAAAAAATTTTGATATAAATTTTATAAAAATCGGATCAAAAATAAAAAAATTATTAACAATTTTAAGAAAAGGAGAGAGTTTGTATTAGTTTTCAGATATGGAGTACATGTTGGAGTACCTCCGCTAAAACTCTTACATCTTACAAAAAAAATGGTTAAACGAACCACATGTTTTAAATCCCTCCCGTAGAACTATTTAGTGGTGTTTCACCATATGTTTGTAGCTTTAGAAATGTTTTAATTAATAATAAAATCGTAAAACAATAAAAAACAATAATAACATATTTATAAAATAAATTTTTTTAAAAATTAAAGAAAAAAACATTGTCGTCACCGCCACCCTCAGCACCACCCGTTCTCATCACCGGATGAAATCTGCCAACCTTTTTATTAATGTCATAATAATGGCAGATTCAATGAAAATTTTGGCATTATGAAGAGTAATAATTTCATTTTCCTAACATTTTTAGGAAAAAAATGACATTTTATACACAAAATGATAGAATTTTCACTAATCGGAGGTGGTGCAGCTAGGAGGGGTGAGAAAGGTATCCATATTTTTTAGAGGAAAATAATTAAAATATCCCAAACTTTGAAAGCGTGTGAGGTAAACACCGCAAACTTGCATATGTAATTTAAATAGCCCAAACTTTATATAAAAAATTATTTCACCATCATGGTCATGTATTATTTCTTTCAAAAATGTTAATTTTTTGTGTAAATTTCATAATTTAAAATATTTTAGCATTGATGAAAATACAATTAACATTCTAAACTTCCATTTTAAAATAAATAGTATTACCTCCTCAATCTATATAATTGAAATGTTTTCAATTTGCTACTCCCTCCGTATCTTTAAAATCTTCCCACTTTCCTTTTTTCTCCGTAACAAAAAATCTTCCCATTTCTAAAAACGGAAATAAAAACACTCCAACATCTCAATTCTACCCTCAATTATACGTTCTGAATTACCCTTGTTACCCTTAATTTTGAATTTGAAAACATAGTGTGTCCAAATGCCCATCAGTTCTCGGCCCACTTATCATACCCTACAAGATGTCCAAATTGCCGTGATGTTGCAGTCCCAACCCTACTTCTTTCCCGACTTCATATCTCAATTATCAAGCATTCCGCCTGAACCCATCTTTCCCGACTTCATCGTCGTGATGCTGCTGTGATGTTTTTATACTTGCCTGAACCCATCTTTGTCGCCTCTGCTCTCATGGAATCTGAAAAAACAAAGATCTCGACTGCCTCTGCAGCGGGCGACCATGTTGCACTCCCAGCGTCGCCCTCAGAGGCAGACGTTATTCAGTCTCCGGTCATCGATATCCTTCCCGTTGGGGATTTGCCTTCACTTACCCCTCCGCCTGACGATGGCGAGGCTTTACTATCTGATTCAGAAGGTTTTCCTTCTCCGGAATGGTACCTCTCTCCTTCCGACACCGACGATACTGATCCGAGATGGAAATGGAGGAAACGTTACGAGGGATTGATTGAACCCGACAGTGACGACGGCTGTGAGGACCTCGAGAGCCGGTGGATTGCGGTTACTTCCAAAAGGGCAGCGACGCCAACCCCTGTGGCTACGGCGGACGAGGATGAAGGATTGCCATAGGGGAGTTCTTACCGCCTAATTTCATTTCTTTATTGTCCAATAATTGCATGTTTGTTTGAGGTTCTACTGTAGGAACTTTGTGATGCTTATGTCCCTGATTTCGGTCGTGTACTATATGTGCTATTTGAATTGTTTGCTGCTGATTTGTACTCAGTTCACTCATGTAATGTCTGTGATTAATAAACCTTGTGATGTTTCTCTGAGGTATATTGGCCTTAGTCAAGCAGTGCACTATCTGTGTTGAAAAAATAGTGTTATGACTATTTTCTGAGGTTGTGTAGCATTAGTTTACTCATGTGTAGCCTGTGATGAATCTGGTCTGAGGCATAATTTCAAACCGTGCAGTGGTATGTTGATGGTGGTAAACACTTTGATCGGTTTGGATGTGTATTAAGTGTGAGTGAACTAATGTCACGGCTGTGAAGAATTCATTTCATCCCCATGAATAATTTGTGCACTTTGTCACTCATTTTTAGCCTGATTAATGTAGTGCACTGTATGTGATGATAATTAAGTCTGAGTAACTTGATTAAAGTAGCTTGATTAAAGTAGTGCACTGTGTGTGAGTAAACTGATGTCCAGCCTACATAAACAATTTTAATTGTTATGATGCTTATTAAGACTGAGTAACTGATGTCCCGTCTTTGATCAATGAAGTTCATCGATATGTGTCATTTGTGAATGTTGTGAAGCTTATTTAGCTTGACTACACCAAAGCAGTCTTAACGCATTACAATTGTCTAACATAAAGCATTACACATACATGAAATTTGATTTCACATTCAGTCACACATTAAGAGAATGTGATATTTTAAGCAACGCCTCCTCATATATCTACTTAGTCACACCAATTCTCTGAGGTAGTTGACCTTGCCTTTGTAAAGCTTCTTTTCCCAAATGCTGCAATTTGTAGTTATTTCCTCCCCCGCACTTCATCACTTCTTTCATAACAGTTTGATAAGATAGAAAGACCTTTTCTAGGGTTGTGGCTGAAAGTTCGTTAAAAGCTTCTTCCACATTTGCAACCAATTCAGGGAGTGAACTGCTAGGCTTTTGGTCTTTTAGGGAATCAATTGCTCGAAAAAAACCTAGGTCTAGTATATTTAAATCAGGTCTGTTTGGTGGTTGGCATTGCAAAGAGACATTCCAACCATCAGTACTTGCTTCTCTATGAAAATCTTCATCGTCAATTAACATATGTGGCTTTGCATTATCTTGTTGAATGATGATGTTCCTATCGAGAACATCTGGCCATTTTTCTTTAATAGCAGGCAATAATTTGGATAGAAACATTTCCTTCATGACTTCCCGCGTTATCCTAGTGATAGGTTTAACTTCTAATGACCCTCTTGGCCTGTTTATACTAGATCGAAGAGCAGCCCCTACGTAAGTGAAAGGCCAAATTCCAAGCTTTCCGTCCCATAACACTTCCCCCTTTTCACTGAACCTAGGCCTACTCACAGCAGCTAAAAACATGATTTTTGGAATGAAATTCTTCGATTGAGCACTTCTGTATGGATCCGGTTCATCAATGCCCAAATAGTATTTCTCACTTTCTTTAGTCGTGTTAAACCACTTTTCATCTATGTGAATGTACTCATACATATCTTTAAAAGTAGGATTCGATGGAATAGAGTCAGGGGCAAGTAGACCAACACAATGTTGTAACCTTTTTACTTTACCGTTGTCGGTTAATCGGGGTTTAAGGGAGTTAGTATGTCTTCTAACATGTTTTTTTGTAACAGCCTCCACATGGTCATGTGTGACATTCCCATTGCATAGGCAACTGATCTGAGATTTTTCCTAAATTGAAGTGGTATGTTTTTAAGCTTTTCTGAATCAAGAATTATACCTTTTCTGCCGGAATGACCTGTATACCTTCTGTCCACATTCACTACCTCCCCTTGTAGTATTTGTAGCTTAACCTTTGCCCATATAGAGTAGATTGTTCTCCTTGTGGTATTGAAAGTAGCAGCAGTTTCATTAATGATGCCTCTATGAAGTTTCCCCCCATTGTGTTGTTGCAATAGTTGTTGTGTAATTCGCTTCCGTTCTACATTGGTCAATTTCTTTTTCCTTGAATGTAATGTGATTGGCTCTGGTGAGTTGATGACTGCTTCTTGAACATGAATATCTGCATTTGTATTGTTTGTTTCTTCATTACTAACATTCTGTAATTCTTCTTGTGCATCTTCATTTTCTGCAATAGGGAAGTCATTGAGGTCAAGGAGGGGAACATTGAGCTGCTGCCAAGTAAGAGGAGGGAAACTGTTTAGGTCTGGGATGCAAGAGCACAAAGTACTTCTCATTTTTACTGCTCCAGGGTTTTGTAGATCTCTTTGTGTTGAATTTCTTGTATATATACCAAAAATTCTTGGACTGTACTTTTAAATTGGAGGGAGTATCGAGTAGTTTCCCTCCATTCTTCAAATTTTCATTTCAATAATTTCTGAGGTTCTGTACACATGTGACAAACTATTTTGGACTATTCCTATTAATTTTCAGACTGCCTGCACAAGGGCAAAACAGCCTTTTGTATTGTTG